AAAAAAAAAAAAAAAAAAAAAGATCGCCAACTTGCTTGGCTACAGAAACCTTTAAAAAAAAACAAAAACAGAAAAACAAGATAAAGAAGTAAAATACAGTGTGTTGGATGACAAGGACTTTGGAAAAAATTAGGCTGAGGACAGAGATCAGGATGGTGGAGACTGGAAGAAGCAAGCATACAAAGACAGAAAAACAAAACACACACATGCAGTCATCTCCAGATGGAGAAAGTAACAAGGGAGAGACACTTGGACACAAAGAAAAAGAGGGATGAGATCTGAGAGCCAGAGAAACACTGAGAGGAGACAAAGAGCTTTAATGAAATGAAACGTAGGATGATGAAGGTAGGAGAGTAACAAGGTAGCGGCTCCAGAAGGCCCTCAGAGGGTCAGAAAGACAAGGGAGAAGATAGAGAAGAGAGAGGCAGGAGGTAAAAGGTGTAGACACCAGTAAAGACTGAGAAAGAGATGTGACATGGAGGGACTAAGGGGTTAGAGAGCTAGAGGAGCTACATGCAGGCACCTGTAAGGGACAGGGTTCAAGAGCTGGACCCTGAGCACTGACCTGGGTGGTCTGGCCGCCTGCTCTCCAGGGAGGGAATGGAAGCCGGACCTGAGGTTCCCCTCCCCAGAGGTTCTCCCCCTGCCCTCTGCCTTACTTCGGCCTCCTCCTCCTTACTCACCTTTGTTCCCCTCTGCTCCGCCCACCCAGCCACCTGCCAGTCCTGCCCCTCACCTTCCCCCACCCACACCAGCAGCCCAGACACACCCCCATCTGTGGCCTCACCCCGAGTCACCTCTGCCCCCTGTCCTGGGCAGCTCCCTCAGCACCCCCTCCTGCGCCCCCTCAAATCAGGTTTAGGCACAGAGCCCTAGATCTCCCCGTCCTGGGTCTGAGTCCTGTCATGGTTTCCATTCTCTCCGCCCCTCCAGGTACCCCAGACCCGGGGCTGGGTCTCTATCCATAGGTCTCCCCAATCCATAAGCCTGAGTCTGCGTCCGGTTACCCCAGCCCCAGGCCTCCACTCCGCCTGCCCCTCCCCGATTTCCACAACCCAGTCCCAGACCTGGGTTTCCATTCCTGGATCCCTCAGCCCCGGTTCTGGTTCTCCATCTCCATCCCATAACCCTGGTACCCCAGTCCTGGGCCTGCGTCTCTCCGTTCCTCTTGGTCCCGCGGTAACCCAGACTCGCGTCCCTGCCCGGACCCCCGCACCCTCCTCAGACGCCGGGTCCTCCTCCAAACGGCCCCTCAAGTCAGCACCAACCGCCCCCATCTGACCCAGGGGTGTGTGTGGGGGAGTGTGCCTCCGCTCAGCCAATGGCTGTCCGGCTGGCCTGAGCCGCACCAATGAGGGCTCGCGGTGGGTGGGTCCAGCAGACCCGCGAGCTTGGCGCAGGGGCCTGCAGCGAGAGAGCCCCAGCGCTCGCGAGATCCACTGCCATTGTAGTTGAGGGCACACGCGCTGCCGAGGCGGTGTCATATCGCCATGTTTGTTAAGGGCAATGGGCTAGTCCTATCCATTGGATTTTTATAAAAGAGAAGGGACAGGAGGGAGGTCTTTAGATGCAGATAGAGAGAGGGACCCTAATGCCGGTAACAAAGACCCAGAGGTATGCAAAGGGAGTTAGTAAGAAACCCAGAGAACCAGTCAGAGGCAGTAAGAGACTTGGAGAGTGTAGTCTCTTCTTCAGATAGAGTCAGAGAGACAGACGCAGAGAAAAGCAGAGATATAAACAAAGAGACAAAGACAGTAGAATTAAGAATGTGCAAGGTAAGGCCTCAAAAACCCCGGAAAATGACAGTGACAGGGAGAGAGAAAGGCGGACACTTCTGGAATGAAAATTTGGGGGGCGGGGCTCATTAATTCACAAATTATTAATAAGCCATAGGGATGTACTATATAGCATGGGGACTACAGTCAGTAATATTGTATTAACTCTGTAAGGTGACATATGGTAACTGGACTTGTGGTGATTATTTTGCAATATATACAAATGTGAAATCATTATGTTGTACACCTGAAACTAATATAATAATTGTATATCAATTTTTAAAAACGTCACAAGCTGCCCTGGCCAGTATCTCAGTGGTTAGAGCATTGGCCTGTGCACCAAAGGGTTACAGGTTCTATTCCTGGTCAAGGGCAGGTACCTGGGTTGCAGGGTCTGAGCACATTCAGGAGGCAACCAATTGATGTGTCTCTTACATGGATGTTTCTCTCTCTCTCTCCCTCCTCCTCCCTCCCTCCCTTCCACCCTCTCTACAAAATCAATGGAAAAATATCCTCCAGTGAGGATTAAGAACAACAGAATGACACAAACTATTTACCTTGGGCGGAAACCAGAGTGGAGGCAGTTTGACATAAACATCTGCCTAGTGATTACCCAGTTACAGGGCAAGACAGGGATTCAAGGAGAGAGATGGGAGACAGAGTATCTGAGAGACTTCTAGGGCAGGGGTGAATGGGAGAGAAAATACTTAAGGCCCAGAGACTGAAAGGAACTGAGACTGAGACAGAATGCAAAGATGCTGACAGAGAGACATTCAGAGGCAAAGACCTGGTGAAACTGAAAGAAATCAAGGCAAGAATAGTATCAGGAGACAAAGAAACAGAATTGTAGAGAAAGACACATGCTAAAGGAGATAGGGACACAGCTTGCTAAAAAGAGATAAATGGAGGAAGGAGTTCATTTATTGTCAACAATGTAGAATAACAACAGCACCAGGTAATACGTGCCTGCCAAATGACCCAGAGAGAGAGAGGGACAGAAACCCAGTAAGATGGAAAGACAAAGAAACACAGCACCTGAGCTTAGGGCCCTGGGAGAAAGGCAGACACACTGACCTAAGAGACTGGGACTCAAAGACAGAGACCAAGTTACAGAGATGAGGGAACAGGAGGAGTAAACTGTCCCATGGTATGGTGATCTTGACTTCAGATGGACCCTTACCTGGTCCCACTGCTCCTCTGCTTCAAGGTGTCCATTCATACGCCGACCCTCTGCTGTGTTACCAACAAGACCCCAGTCCTGGGTGGTGGGCCATGGGAGGGTGGTGTGGGCAAGGAGTCAGGTCTCACCATTCTGGCCTTTGGATCTGTGGAGGAGAAGTGAGAAAGTAGGAGTATCAAAGGCAGACTACAGCAGGCCAGGCTGGATGTGTTGGAGGCCCAAGGGGCAGGGCCTTTCTGAAAAGAAAAAGAAGAGGTCAACTTTTTCACTGCTCCAACCAGTTCATCTTGTCTCATCCACTAAAAGTCAATACATAGGGGTGCAGCCTAATTTTTACTGACCACTTACTGCTGGGAGGTATTGTCCTAAGGATTTTTACTCACATAATGCTGGAAAACATCCTATATGCCAAGTCTATTGTCATCCCCTTTTTGTAGATAAGGAAAGTAAAGCACAGCAAGGTTAAATGATTTGCCCAAAGTCACACTGTTATTAAGCAGCCTAGCCAGGATTGGAACTTCAATATTTCTATGTCTCTGCCCCTCCCTGGATCTCCATTCCCCACCCCCCCTTTCTAGGTCTCTGTCCACTACCCCTCTGGTTCTCCATTCCTTCTCCCCTCCGAATCTCTGTCTCCTTCTAAGTCGCTCCTCCCCTCTCAAAATATTTTTTACCCATCCCCTTTCTGTACTCCACCCGCAAGCCCGAGATCTCGGTGTGCCTCCTCTGCGCTAGTCCCTCACAACGAACCCGCTGGGCCACTTGAATCTCTCTGGCTGAGAAAAGCAGCCCGCAGGTGGCAAAGGCTGAGAAGGGGTCAGGGAAGGGCCATCTGGGGGCAGAGAGTGAAACGGAACCTAAAAGGTAAAAATGCAGGCTGCTATAGACTGGGCTGCAGCAGGAAGATCTCGGATTAGATCTCAAGGAGGACTTCCGGAGCGGCTGCAGCGCCTGGAAAACGCAGGAGATGTGACAGCCAGATAAGGAAATGACCCGAGCGTGGAGTCAGAGGTTTTCCAGAGGTCCAGACTTGCCTGTTCAGCCCCGCCTCCTCATCTCCAACACTCGGCCCGCCCAGTCCTCCGAAGCCACAGAGAGGTTGTCGGCTTCGGGCCAGAGAGTCACTGCACGACGAGTCCTCCTAGTTCTGCGCGACATCGCTCTCGCTCCCAGATCCTTTTCTTCCGGAAGAGTATCGAGAACAGGGACGGGGTAGGGCCAGAGAGGCCCCCGACTTGCTGGCCCTTCTCTCCTAGACGAAACCCTTTTCCCTCTTTGGTTGTTTCCCCTCCCCCCACTCATCCTATTCCGGAAACGCCCATCTAGCCGACAATCCGACCCACCATAGAGAAGCCGGAGTCGCTGTAGCGTGCCGGGTCGCGTTAGTGTGACGTCACCTGGGCTCCGCTCGCTGAAGGCTTTCCCCGCCCACCTCGGCTCCTTTCTCTCTTTCCGGACCTGGTGGAACAGAAGGCGCCATCATGGTGAGTGTGCTTTGAGGTGTTCGGGGTTCCACCATCCGTCGCCATCCGCCGCGGTCTACGGCTGGGGGTGCGCCATAAGGAGGCAGGGGTTCCGGGGGTGTCCGTAGGAGGCAACTCCGGTAGTGGCGGGGTTATTTATGGGCTCCCGAAGAGCAGGGATGGGAGTGTCATATCAGCCTCCAGCTCCTCTCCCATCTCTCCATTATGGCTCCTATTGAATAGAGGCCCAAATTGAGGTATGAAGTGGCTGTGATACGACCGGGGTCAAAATGTCTGGAAGTGACCGAGCCAGGATTCGGACCCGGGCGCTGTTCCCACGCCCACTCAAATCTCTTGCCTTTTGCTGCCCCTGCCCGGACTTGTCACTCCCCAGCCTGAAAAGTTGGATTCTGGGGGTTGTCGAGCGTCCAGTGCCCGGGTTTTGGGACAGGCAGCCTCCCTGCCTACCCTGTGATCTTGCTTTCCCATCCTGTGTCCAACTTTCTCCATCTGTTGAATGGGAACAAAATTAATTCTGTCTCACAGATTTGAGTTGGGGGAGAAATACATTGTAAGAAGTGCTCACCATAGGTTCTTGGAAATGTTAAGTGTTGGTTAAATGGGAGCTATCCAGTAGTACTTTACAATTCATAACAGTCTGAAAAGGAAGCCTCACAAAAACAGGCAGGGGATGTAGTGGGAATGGTGGGCTTGCCTGTTTTCTTAGGGCAAAGGTGGGAAAGCTCTAAATAAAGGTTGGTGGTTACTTGGTGCCTCCCCTAGGTTTAAATGTTTTTGGTCATTCTCCATGTGTGGGAGCAAGCATTGAGAGTTTATATACGTTGAAAAAGACAGCTACAAAGAGATAAAAATGTTTATTGAGTTAATGTGGCTACTGTGTTAAAATTTTCAAGGTGCTGTGTGTCATGCGCTGAAGGCTTTGCATATACAGTTAGCCCCATTTTACAGAGGATTCACTTGAAGTTCGGAGAGTTTAAGTGACTTTCCCAGAGGTGGACCTGGGATTTGTTGTCTCTGCAGAGACTGGGGCTCTAGCTCTGTTTGGAAGATAAGTAATAATTGAGAACGTTCATGGGTGAGGAATTTGCCAGGTCAGAGTTGGGTCTATGGTCTCCCCTTCACCCTTCAGGGAGTCGACATCCGCCACAACAAAGACAGAAAAGTTCGGCGCAAGGAGCCCAAGAGCCAGGACATCTACCTAAGGCTGTTGGTCAAGGTGAGGTTGGGGCGTGTGACCCTTGGGCAGGGCCACCGTTTTCAGTTTCTGGGCTGTATACAGCTGGGGGGTGAGAAGGGGATTTTCTGGGGCGCTGACCAGGATGAACCTGGGCTAGCGCTCTCCCCGGAGCTCCCTGGGATAGGGGAAAGCCAGAAGTCATTTGTCTGCCCCTTCCTTATAAAGTGGGAAGGAGGGGGGTGTGGGCTGCCCTGGGTTCTCATCCCCCTTTTCCCTTCCCTTCTAGCTGTACAGGTTTCTGGCCAGACGAACCAACTCCACCTTCAACCAAGTGGTGCTGAAGAGGTTGTTCATGAGTCGCACCAACCGGCCACCTCTGTCCCTTTCCCGGATGGTGAGGGGCTGTCTCGGGGAGCATAGCCAGCCTGGGGAGCAACTGGATTGTGCCTGGAGCTGGGCTTTTTTAATTCAACTGGCTTGGCTTCTTGGATTTGTTTTCCTTCTCATTGTGAGCTGGGGGTGGTTACAGTGGCTTCATGAGATCGTCCTGAGGCTTCCAGTCACATAACACAAGTCTTAGATGTCAAGAACCCTCTATAGGGGAGGTCTGTTGAAAAATCTGCTTGAACCTGAGGTTAGGCCTGTGCTAGTTTGAGCGGTGGGATACGGGTGGGTTTAGCCCAATCAGGGCACAGCCATCCTGTTCCTTGGATGTCTGAAGCAGCGGGATTGGATTTAAACACCAGGTGAGGCTGACTGTGCATCTCTTCCCCCAAAGATCCGGAAGATGAAGCTTCCTGGCCGAGAGGGCAAAACCGCGGTGGTCGTGGGGACTATAACTGATGACGTGCGTGTCCAGGAGGTGCCCAAACTGAAGGTCAGTGGGGAGGGGCTCTGTGGTGGGTGTGTCCAGAGCACAGGTTCAGTGTGGACCTGCAGACCTGGCTTGTCCTTTGCTGTGGTGCCATTGGGCTCATGCTGCGTCTTTGGCCTCATCTCCTGGGTTGAGCAGGCATCGCACCTACCAAGTGGCTTTTGGGGTGGAAGGGAGCTTGTCACTGGCATTATTGATGGTGACCTCTGGGGCCCTGTTGACAGTGCTGGCTCTTGAGCCAGACAGCCTGGGTTCGAGTCTAGATTTCTCTGCCACTTTGTCGTCTCTGGACAAAGTTCTAAGTCTCTTTATGCTTCATTTTCCTTATACAGAACGATTTTGAGTTGTCACGGTCTTGAAGGAGTTTCTAGAAGTAAAGTGATAAAAACAGCTGTTGTCAGCTCAGGATGCTCCTACTAACAGGAGTTATCAGGCCGAGTATGCAGCAGGACTGCTCTGTCATTAAGTCCCAGCAACGCCTGGGTGGCTGTGCAGGGGGTTCTGACTGGACCTGTCCTCTGTATCCCCTAGGTGTGTGCACTTCGTGTGAGCAGCCGCGCCCGGACCCGCATCCTCAAGGCTGGGGGCAAGATCCTCACCTTTGACCAGCTGGCCCTGGACTCCCCCAAGGGCTGTGGCACTGTCTTGCTTTCTGGTGAGCAGCGCTTAGTTTCCCGTGGTGGGGCCTGGTCCCCTGCGAGTGAGGGTGTGTGAGCTGTGTGACTGCTGACACTGTACCTTCCCATACTGTACCTTCTGCCTGCTCACCCTCCCTGTCAACCTAAGCCCTGGAGAGTGACTTCTTGCAGGAGTTCTGGGGGCTGGGTTTCTGCCTGACCCACCCCTTCCTTCCCTTCCCCAGGTCCTCGCAAGGGCCGAGAGGTGTACAGGCATTTCGGCAAGGCCCCAGGAACCCCTCACAGCCACACCAAGTGAGTATGCCCAGCCTTGTGCTCCAGCCCTGACTCCCCCAGAACCCACAGTGCAGGCTGGGCCTTGACGTGTGCTTCCAGCTGCTTTTCTTTCTCACAGTAGTCCAGCCTCGGGCCTCCTTGGAACTCCCTCCCTCTTCGTACCCACTTTTCCTTCAAATCTCAGCTTAAAGCTGGGCTCCCCTGGGTCTTGAGCTCCCTGTGCAGCTAGTGTTACGGATGCATGCTTTGTTTTAGGCCAAGTTGGCATCTCCCAGGTGGGGCCTACATTTTACCATCTCAGGTTGACACCACCAGGGCCTGGTCCTGGCTTCTTGCACTGCCAGGCTTTTCCAGCAGCCCGCTTGGTATCACCACTGGCCCTTCTTGGGTCAACCAAGGCCCCCTTCTGGTGTCCTGTGCTGCTCTATGAGGCAGCATCACTCTGGAGTCCCCAGCCTACTGTCATGCCCTGGCTCCATCTGTATGTAATTTCTTTCTCTTCCCCATAGACCCTACGTGCGATCCAAGGGCCGGAAGTTCGAGCGCGCAAGAGGCCGACGGGCCAGCCGTGGCTACAAAAATTAACCCCAGATCCTACCTTGTTATTAAAAAGATTGTGGATTCTGATGGCCCTGTGTATATTATTGGGGGATGGGGTTGGGGGGCAACCTGTGGACCAGAAGGCATTTGTTTTGGGGAATTGGCCACCATGCGGTCTCCATGGAGACCAGCCACTCCAGTTAGGGGGTGGTCTCAGGTGTCTGTCCGCCTCAGCCAGCAGGCGCCCCCTGGCGGTGTAGGCCTGTGTTAAGCTCTGCTTCTGGGCCTCCCTGCACCTGTTGGTCTCTTGAAGCCCATTATTGCTGAAGCCCCACCACCTTCCCAAGAGCCCCGGGTGTCAGGTGTTCCTGCAACCACTTCCTGGGATTGGCCCCACCCTTCCCTCTTAAAGGACCCATGCTCCTCTCCCCAGCACTAGGGGTGTTGGGTGAGGCTTGGACAGGGAAGTGTGGATGAGGTGGGGAAAGGGTGTATGGGAACAGGTGAGGGACTCCCCCTCCCACGAAACCTGAGTCTGGCAGGCAGCTGGCCTCGGGCAAGCAGCCTGGTGAGTGTGGGCTCCAGGTTGGGACCTCATACCCTGGGCCCCACACCTCAGACCTCCCGTAGGGACCTGTATGGGCCCTCCCGTGTTTGCACAAGGGGCTGGGTCCCCAGGATCCCAGGGTGAAGCCTGATGAATGAGGCCAGTTTGCCGGAAGAACCGCAGAAATAAGCTCAGGTCTGAAGACCCGGATTCTGTTGTCCTGAAAAGGCAAGAGGAGGGGAAAGGAATGGAGAGCTGGCTGGGACGGGAGGGAGAGGGGCCCTCGCTCTATTCCTCTTCCTCATTGCAGGGCTAGTCAGCTGCGACCTGGCGGAAGGGAGCGCCGGGGTGCTGTGAGTGGAAGGCGGGGGTTGCAGGGATCGGGGTTCACAGGTTGGGTCAGGAGCCTCAAATGATGTAGAGTGGTCTTGCCCTTATTTCATTAGGAATAAGTATGCAGTCAGCTAGCAGGAGATAGTGGAATTCAGGCCAAAAAGACGGTCAGCTCAGCCAAGGAGCAGCGTAGCTCAGAAGGCAGCCCCTAGGCACAGGCAGGGGCAACCAGTCCCAGGAATGGTGGCCAGTTAGTCCAGCCCTCGGCCTAGACGGGTTGTGGAGATCATGGGCTGGTTCCATGGTAATGAACCCCTCTGGAGCGCATCCTCCACTGTAGCAGCCTGAGCGGGTGTGAAGGCCCAGGAACGGTCCTCCATCCACAGCGGAGCCCTAGTTCCCTGGCTGGGGAAGGGCGATGCCCGGCTGAGGGCTGGAGTACATTTCTCCAAGGCTCACAGAGGAGGTGCCCAGGATGGTCAGCCAGTGAGAGCTGGTGAGCTAGCCGGCCAGTTGTCCAGAGAAACATCCACTGGACACAGCTAGGAGTTCCACTGGTTGGTCAGATATTGATTGTTGAAGAGACGGCTGGAGAGGATCAGTTAGACGTGCTGTCTGCCAGGGGTGAACAGGCAGCCCACTCTCCCTCTGGTGAAGGACATTCAGGTGGCTGCAGACAGGCAGACAGCCTGTTGCCGGGAGATGCTCAGGCAGTCAGCAGATTTCTGGCCAGGACAGGTGGGTGGTCTGCCTGACCAAGCCTGAGCCAGCGGAAGGGTCAGTTGGTGCACCGTGTGGCCAGCAGGCTGGAGGTTGTCGTGTGCTGTAGCAGAGATGGGCAGCTGATGGCCACAGAGTTTGGAGACAGTGCCAGGTGGTCAGCCTAACCCACACGCAGGGCCAGCTGTGTGGTCAGCCAGGTCATCAGAGACAGCTGGCAGGAGGGTCCGACGGCCAGCCGGTCACGGAGGCTGGTGGGCAGTTGATCTGAGCAGCGTCGGGCAGTCAGTCACTTGGGCAATCTGATTGCCGGGACGGTGAGCTGGGGACAGCACAGGGAGCCATCTGGACTTTCTCAGGCTGCCCTGGGAGCCTCATATAGGGTCTGCCTGTCAGGAGACCCCCAGATGGTCAGTGCCTCAGAGACGGCCAAACACTCAGACACCCAGCTTCAAGACCCACCTGCGTGGCCCGATGGCGGCCTCCCAGCTTGCAGCACTGGAAGGAGTGGAGCCAGGGCCGGGGGGGCTGCCTCTGACGGAGACCAGCCCTGGCTTCCTGTATTCCGAGGGACAGCGGCTGGCGCTGGAGGCTCTTCTGAGTAAGGGCGCAGAGGCGTTCAAGGCCTGTGTGCAGAGCGAGGGGCTGCGGCCCTTCCTGGGCTGGGAGGAGCTCCAGGGCCTGGCAGCAGCGGCTGAGAACTGGACAGCAGTCAAGCAGGAGACCAGCGGAGCAGAGGGAGCCACCGTCACCAATGGGGACTCAAACAGCCTGACCTACTGGCCTGGACAGTCGGAGGAGCCGGTGCCCGTGTTGCGGCTGGGCTGGCCGGAGGACTCCGGCTGGAAGGGTATCACCCGGGCGCAGCTGTACACCCAGCCACCTGGCGAGGGCCACCCACCCCTCAAGGAGCTGGTGCGCCAGGAAATCCAGGCCGCCTGCAAGGTGGGAGCAGGGCCTCGGGGGCCTGTTGTCCCTTCCCCAGACCCAGACATACTCACATGCCAGCTACCGGGCCTGGGAGTGCACATGTCCTGGGGTATTCTCACTCAGGCCCTCCTGGGACTTCTGAGTCCACAACCGCAGATCTCATCTTCACCCTCTTAGATATTAGGGTCCCTATCCTCTCCCCAAGATCTGGATACCACCTAATTCACCTGGGTTAACGTGTAATTCTCACAAGGGCCCTGTGAGGTTGGGACTTACTGTGTCCACTGAGGAGATGGGGAAACTGAGGCATGGGAGGTTAAGTCTCTTGCCTGAAGTGGCCAAGCAGAGATTTGAGCCAGTGAGTCAGGGCTCATCACCACCTTTTCCTGCCTGCAAGACCCAGGCCCTTGGCAGTCCCCAGAGCTCCCCTTGGCGACCCAGCAGGTCAGCCCTCACCCCACCCCTGGTGTCCAGGGCACCCCTGAGGACCCAGATGTGCAGTTTCCCACAGTGGGCTGGAAAGTCACTCAGCCCACTTACCCCGAGAGCAAGGCCATGGAGTGTCACAGCTCAGGGGACACTTCACCATTGTCAACATGCAATTGATGACAGTATTTTAAAAAATAAATTTTGCCCTGTTGGGCGTGGCTCAGCGGTTGAGCATCAACGTAGGATCCAGGCGATTGGGTTTCCATTCCTGGTCTGGGCACAGGCCTGGGTTGTGGGCTCAATCCCCAGTTGGGGGCATGCCGGAGCCAGCCGATCGATGACTCTCTCATCATTGATGTTTCTATCTCTCTCTCCCCCTCTCCTTTCCTCTCTCTGAAACCAATAAAGATATATATATATATTTAAATTTTTTATTGATTTTTAGAGAGAGGAAGGGAAAGAGAGAGAGAGAGAAACATCGATGCGAGAGCAGNATTTAAATTTTTTATTGATTTTTAGAGAGAGAGGAAGGGAAAGAGAGAGAGAGAGAAACATCGATGCGAGAGCAGAACATTGATTGACTGCCTCCTGCATGGCCCCCATCAGGGATCAAGCCTGCAATCCAGGCATGTGCNGAACACTGATTGACTGCCTCCTGCATGGCCCCCATCAGGGATCAAGCCTGCAATCCAGGCATGTGCCCTGACTGGGAATTGAACCAGCAACCTTTTGGTGCCTGGGACAACACCCAACCAACTGAGCCATACCAGCCAGGGCTGATGACAGTTCTTCAGCAGTTAGAGGCCGGGGTCTCCAGGAGGGACTGCCTCTCTCTCACTCACATATAGGCACTGTGTGAACATCCCACAGAGGCCAGGTCTCAAACTCAGCCTCCAGAGCATCTCACCACCAGGGCCCTACCTTCTGAGTGTCCCCCAAGCGCCAGGCTCTATCCACAGCCCCTCTCCCTCCTCTCCAGCTGGTGGCCATCGTCATGGACATATTCACTGACCCAGACCTGCTTTCGGACTTGGTGGATGCTGCCACACGTCGCTGGGTGCCCGTCTACCTGCTCCTGGACCGCCAGCAGCTGCCTGCCTTCCTGACGCTGGCCCAGCAGCTGGGGGTGAACCCCTGGGCCACTGAGGTGGGGGCCTGGCTGAAGGGACCTCTGAGTCCCCAGTCCCCTGGTGCTGGGGGCAACAGAGGTTGATGCCATCGGGGTCCTGGGTCAGCGAGGTGGATGCCAGCTGAGAGGGTCCCCTGAGATCTGATGCCCATGGCATTGGGGGAAGTGGGGTGGGCCTTCCTACTGGGGTCCCTCTGAGTTGGGGGAATCTCCCTCCAGGAGACCCCTGAGACCCAAGATTGGAGGCTCTGGGGAAGCTAGGACAGACCGTTCTACAAAGTGATGGGCCCCCCATGTAGGACCAGCCTAGAGAGACCCCCATGTGGAGGTCTGTGAGGTCAGCCTGAGCAAGGGTGTGTTCCCCACCTCCCAGAACCTGGACATCCGTCTCGTGCGGGGATGCAGCTTCCAGAGCCGCTGGCGACAGCAGGTGACTGGTGCGGTGAAGGAGAAGTTTGTGTTGCTGGACGGCGAGAGGGTCATCTCAGGATCCTACAGGTGCAGCCCCCTCGCTGCCCCGTGTCCTGTCCCCAACCTCCCTCAGTGTGCCCAGAGAGCGGCTGGATCCCCTTCTCAGCGTCTCGTTCCTCATCTGTGAAATGGGTCTAAACCCTGCCTGGAGAGGAGGTATTGTGGGCAGCCAGGGCTTGGGGTTGGAGCCCTGGCCCTGCTGCTGGCCTGGTTAGTGGCCTAGGGTCAGTCTCCATCCCTCTGACCTGTTTTCCCATCTGGAGAAAGGGTCCTGCAGTGTGTTGGGATTTTCAAAACCAAGAGGACCAGGACTGTGGTCCCAGCTCTGCCTGGGGTGAGTAACGCCACCCCTTGGAGTGTCTGGAAAGAAATGAGACCTGGTGTGCAAATGGCCCAGTCCTCAGACCCTCAGATGTCTCTCCTCTGCTCTCTTTGGGGTCCAGCCAACCCTGGGCTCTGGCTCTGCGACTTCTTGGCTCTGTGACACTGGGCCTCCTCCTCTCTGAGCCTCAGTGTCCCCATCTGGAAAGGTGAATAAGGAGCACCTACCCCTTTGGGTCACAGCAGGGAGTCAGGGGGAGGGGACCTGGGCCCAGATGGCCTCGGTTCAAGTCCTAGCTCTGCCAGTTATCAGCTGTGTGGCTTTGGGCAACTGACTTCCCCTCCGTGTGCCCCCTGCAGAACGGATCATACGCTTAGTGACTTCAGAGCGAGCTTTCCCGACAGGACAGAGGCACTACTCACCTCTGGGGCCGGACAGCTGTCCTGGGGGGTTTTCCTGGGCATTGTAGGGTGCCGGAGAGCATCCCTGGCCTCCACCCAGTAGATGTCAATAGCATCCCCTTCCCGGTTATAACAACCCCAAAAGTCTCCAGACATTGCCAGGCGCCCCCGAGGGGCAGAAGTGCCTGTTGAGAACCTTGAAAACTGTTGCTCCAGACCAGTGGTTTTTGGCCTTGAGCATGACCCAGAGGTCTTGTTAAAACACGGAGTTCTGGGCCCCACCCCCTTCAGCCGGCCTAGGATGGGGCCTGAGGGTTGGCATTTCTGGCAAGTTCCCGGTTGACACTGATGCTGCTGGTCCGGGGACCACACCTTGCGAACCACCCAGTAGATGTCGGGGACTGAAACGTTTCAAAGGGACTCTACGTTCCCAGGAGTGGGGACTTGGCAAGATCATGGTCCCTGGCACGTGACGTAAGAAGTGCTTCATAAATATCAGCTGTTGTTTATTAATAGTAATTTAGAGCATTTTATTGACTCTAAGAGGCCGCCAATGAAAGGGAGCCTCCTGATGGAAATGTGAAAAGAGAACATGTCTCGGCCAAGGAGGCCGCAGTGCAGCGAAGCCCAGCAGGCGTGGTGCTCACCACCGGCTCGGGCGTCAGCGCTTCGTGGAGCCCCGGGCTCCTAGGGACAGCCCCAGAGTGGATGAAGCCAGGGCCACAAGGGGTTGTCTAGGGCCTCTGGCCATTTAATGGGGGAAGGAGGTGGAGGCCGCAGGCACAAGGAGCCAGAGCCCCGAGACCTGTCCCAGGCCCTGCCCTCCACGCTGGTCACAGTCAGTGGAGGAGCAGCAGCGTGCCCAGCGCCAGGCCCGTGGCGGCCCCCGCCACCCGGCCGCCTGCGGGGACAGAGGCCCCGTTACACAGTTGGTCATAGCAGCATTTGGAGGTGAGGCTGTAGGTGACACCCTGGTAGGTGACGGGCTCCTGGCGGCCACACAAAGTAGACTGTATGCAGCCTTTGTTGATGATGGGGCCAAGGTCAGGGGCCGTTCCTTGGCCCAGAAAGCACTCCTCGTCGTCGCCACAGCTCATGGGGATGCCAGGGCAGGTGGCAGAGTCGGTCAGCTCACAGAAGATGCAATTCTTGATGCCTGTTGTGCCCAGGGGCAGAGCTATCACTAGAAGCAGCAGCCAGCGGAGGACCATGGCAGCGGTGACAGTGCCCTGGGCTTCGTGGGCCTCCCAGAACTGCTGAGTGACCCCCACAAGACTTTTGGCCCTGGTTCTGGCTTCCCAGGGTCAGCACCTGGAGTGTCCTTGGTCCCCAACACTCCGCGTACCTCTCGGGAGCTTCCTCGTGACCACGGCTCTCAAGTCCCTGGGTCTCAGAAGCTTCCCCAGGACAGAGACCAGCCAGTGGCTGCTGCACGATGAGAGTCTTTGTGGAGCAGCCAGGGTGACCTCACAGACCCCTCAGGGTTCCACTGGCCACTCTGGGAGTGAGATCATAGGTGGGCGTGGGGTGTCACCATCTGAGGGGCAGGTTGGCCCGCTGACCTGCCAGGGAGTGAGGACGTTGCCACCCCGCCGAGGTAAGAACGCTCGGCCCAACACTTGCCATCTTGGCCACTGAGTTGTGGGCCCTGCTGGGTGCTGTGCCTGCCAAGTGCCATGGTGAGCCCGTTTTTCAGATGGGCAAACTGAGGCTCAGGAGACGTGACATGTCCACGGCCCCAGAGCCAGGATTAGAGCCCAGGTTTATTTCATTCCAAAGAGGGCATTTATTGAGCACCTGCTGTGTGCAAGACCAGTGCTTTAAATAGCAACCACCATGATGACAGGGCTCGGAAGGGCACGGCTCACCACAGCTTACAGGCTTCGAGCGCTGGGCACTGCTGGGCACGGTGCAGGGAGCTCGACCCATGTCCTGTCGTTCGAATCCTCCTGCATTTTAGCTCCGTCTTCCAGATGAGCAAACGGGCACGCAGAGCAGACATGGCCAGAGCCTGGCACACGGCACGTGTGTAACAAACCAGGCTCCTTATGGGAGCAGCTGAGTCTCAAAACAGCCCCTGTGTCAGATGAATTCCGTCTCTTTCCAGAGGGGGAAACTGAGGCATCCCTCAATGGGAATGGGCAGAGCCCAGTTTTAAACCAAATCTGAGTCCAGATGATAATTTAATTTTCTTAACATGTTGTCCTCACAAGGTAGGTACTCTGGTGGTCCCCACGCCCCAGAGGGGGTTGTTGCGGCCGGAGGGTGGCAGGATCTCCCTGAAGTCACGGTCACACAGCCTGCCCTGTGAGCAGGTTGGGACGGGTAATGGGGGTCAGGCTGGGTCTCTGGGGCTGCGTGGAGGTCCTGACCCCCTCCCCGTGCCACCCAGCTTCACGTGGAGTGACTCCCGCCTGCACCGCGGCCTGGTGACCCTGCTGACCGGTGAGATCGCCGATGCCTTCAGCCGCGAGTTCCGGACACTGTACGCGGCCTCCTGGCCGCTCCCACCTGCGCCCACCCCGGGCCCCTTCGTCAGCACCCTGGGGGGGCTGCAGCTGGCCCGCAGCCCTCACAGTGTGGCCCGCCGCCACTCCGTGGCCCCCACGTCACCGCCACTGCCTGATGTGTCACCGCTGGCCCAACGCCTGGCCGCCTGCCGAGTCTTTGACAGAGACCAGCAGGAGACCCAGGCTGTCCCGGGGCCTGCGCTTAGCGACATCCTGAGGAGCATCCAGCACTCCCGGACCCCCAGTGGCCCTCCAGCCCGGCCCAGCCGATCCCTGTGGGACCTGAGCCGCCTGTCCCAACTGTCTGACTCCAGTGACCATGACATCGAGGTGAGACCTGGTGGCCGGCCTGAGAATGAGAGTAGCTGGAGGAGGGTGGAGGCAGAAGAGGCCCAGAAAGGGAAAGGCGCTTGTCCAAGGTCACGCAGTTGGGCTCAAGGGCACCTGCTGTTTTCTGAGGGCCTACTATGTGCCTGGCCCCCTGGGGGTGGGGAGGCCAAGCTGCTCCCCTGAGTTTCTAAGCACACCACCCGTTTCCTGTACCCACGCTGTGTGCTGGGCAAGGGAGTGCTGGGTGGCAAGGAGCAGAGACCACGAGAGCCCTGGGTGTGAATCCTGCCAGGATACACCGGCTGTGAGGACCCTGGGGGCAGGGACCTGCCTTCTTGGAACCTCCGCGTTCTCATCTAGGAAATGGGCTGAGCGGCTGCTTCCTCCTGTTTGGTTGGGAGGAGGGGTCAATAGAGTGAAATAGAATAGTGATCGTTCTTACGGTAAATTCCCCAAATGGGCTTTATTTCATGACACCCTCATCCCAGGTCAGTGAGGCAAGACATGTATCATGCCCATTTCTGTGGATGGGAAAGCTGAGGCCCAGAGAGGTTAACTAACTTGCCAAGGTCGAAACAGCGGTCTTTTGTAGGCACCTTCCCATGTGCCAGGCCCCAGGCCAAGCACTTTCACAGAAGCGGTTAAAGTTAACCTTTGCCACAATCCTAGGAGGTGGATGTTATTACATCTGTCCACCCATCCATTTCACAGATGGGGAAACTGAGGCACCAGGGAGGATTGGAACTCAGCCCTGGTTGCCTCTCAAGTGGGGCTTCCCAGATTCGAGTGTCATGAGCTCAGAGGGGGTCCCTCTCCCCGCAGTTGCTAAGGCACTGGGGTTTCAACAGGGCCTACCCCATTCTCTAGGGGTAGCTGGGCAGGGCCTCAGTGTCCTTGGCTGTAAAGTGGGCTGTTGAGGGGGTCAGAGCAGAGCCATGTGGGAGAAGCAGGCAGACTAGCCCCGGATGCAGGGTGACTTGGGGGACAGTCCCTCTGTGAGCTGGGCCCCCTCTAAGCCTCAGTTTCCCCATCTACTAAGTGGGAGCTAGAGGCCTGTTCTGAGGGCGAGGGAGAAATATCCCAGAAATTGCCTCCCTCAGTCCCAGGGGAGAAGGGGGATGGGCAGGGCAGGGCCAAGGTCCTCGCCTCCGCCTGGTCCTCAGCCACCCTTACCCAGCATCGCCTCCCTTGGCAAATATTTGCTCCCCCCACCCTGGCGGCTGCTGGCTGCTTCCTGTTCCTCCCCAGCTGCAAAGCTGCAGGGGAGACACACCTCCTGCCCCCTCTAGAGGTCCGGGGGTCCCAGGCCTCCCTGTCCACCTCCCTCCTGGTTCTGGAGCTCAGGGGCCTTCTCCCTCCTCTCTGAGTTCCACACCCTCCTCTCACCTCCCTTTCCGTGTCATCTCTCCTTCCTATCTCACCTCCCTCCTTTCATTTTCTGTCGCCCTCGCCTCCTCCAGCCTTCACCTCCCTCACCCCCTTCCTGCCCTGGACTTAGCCCCCAGGAGCCTGCTCTCACCTCCTTCTCTTTCCCTCCACAGCTCAAGAAGTCCTGGGGCTCCAAGGACACCCCAGCCAGGGCCCTGATGAGGCAGCGGGGCACTGGAGGGCCCCCCAGGGGTGAGGCGGACTCCCATCCCCTGGCCGGGTCCCAGCCCTGGAGTGGCCCCCTGGCCCTCATCCCTTCCCGCCGCCTCCGCTATCTGTCCCCAACCCGAAGGAGGTTTGGTGACAATGCTGCACCCAGATCCCCGGAACCCAGAGGTGGCCGGCAGCCAGACTGGGCCACCCGGGCAGGACTCAGGGGGCGACCCTGACAGAAGCCAGAGCCACACTGAGAGTTGGACGACAGTCTGCTTGGAGCCCATGCCTGGCTGTTGTGCTTCTGGCCTCAAGAGTCTGGGAAGCAGAAGGGGTTTCCCCCCACTTATTCTAGAACTTTGGCAAGCCCCATGCCCACTCTAGACCTCAGTGTCACAGTCTAGAAAATGGGCAGAACGTCTCACCCAGCTGGGATCCTACAGCAGCGCACATCCCCTCCGGCCAAGTCAGAACTTCTGGGGGAAGGCCTGAATGAGGGGCCCAGCGCTGGGTTGTGTGGGGTGAAGATGGGGAGTCCCTGGGACCCACTGCTCAGGAGTGTGGGAAACCTGAGCCTGGCCAAGGGGAGGTGAGACCCCAATCCAGGGAGCAGAACTGAGTAATGAGGGACTGGAGATGGGTGGGGACACACCTGCTGGGAGCGGCTCAGGGCCCTGGAGAGGGACTGGGCAGGGCTCTGACGTCCTCAACAGCCCACTTTACAGCCAGCACTGAGTGGGGCTCCCTTTTACCTCTGCTCAGAATAAACCTGCTTCATGCCAGAAACTTGCATTTTCACAGCTAGCAGGGGACCTAGGAGTCCAGCCCCAGCCCCTCCCTCAGACCCAGAAGTCCTGGTCCCCAGCCCCTTTCTCCCCAAGGACCCAGGAGCCTGCCCAGCACTGCGGGGCTTCTGAGTCACCCACCCCACTGGTGTGCCAGGTGGAGAAGAGGACCTTGCCCTCCAGAGGCCCTGGTGCCAGGCCAGGGCCCCCACCCAGCCTCCACCCGCCCTCGAGCGCGCCCCCTGCCGCCACCTCCATAGCACATCAAGGAGCCAGGGCAGGAGCGATGCGTTTATTTTCAGGGTCACGGATGGGGGTGCTCGGAGGCCTGGGCTGGGCTGGGGTCGGGGTCCGGACTGGCCTCCTCGGGGTCCTCGTCCCAGGGGAAGGTGGGCATCCCCCGCATCTGCTCGCGGTAGACACGGTCGAAGGCCTCGCTCTGCGCCACCGTAAAGTGGTTCTTCCAGTCTCCGCAGACCCCTGGCGGGAGGGAGGTCATGCGAGGTGAGGGGGGGCATCGGGAGGAGCCTTGTCCCAATCCCAGCTGCCCTGTCTCACCTCTGGGCCTTTGCCCACGCTGGTCCCCACGCCAGAAGCACCCCCACCCCCAC